TTCTAAAACTCAACAATTTTCAAAGAAATTAAATCATTATTCACTTAGCACTGCTTGTTTAAATGTGTTTCACTTAGGATTCGTTCATTTGGAAAGTTTTCTTATCTAACATATACTAATTGGAATCGGATAATAGTAAGTTCGTAAATTTCCCGTTGTTGATACACAGGACTGAAAATACATCATTCTCTGTTGCTATATGTATGTTCTAAGTGGATTGTTTTGATAGAAGGTTATATCATAAGTCTAATTAAACTTGATTTATAGCTAGCAACCAAACAAAGGACGAGATGTTTTTCCTATTTGAAACTCGTCAGTAGGATGTATCTACCACATTCTAGAGCTGATATTCATTCAGGATCACGAACCTATTACCATTCGCTTCAAACACCATCGAGTTACCCACTTAGTTACTGAGTTCAGATAGCCTCCCTTTTTTTAAATAGGATGAAAAAAGTAACCGATCAATTTCAGTCCGAAACATCATTCAACACAACCAATTCAAATGGAATATCATGTAGTTGATAATCAGGCTTGAATTGGGACCAGTCATTTATTCATTAGTTAAAGTATGAAAAGTAACATTTCACCACTAATTATGATTCAAATTAATTAAGACTTGCAACTGAAGCTTATATCAGTGTAATTTGTTTACAATGTATGCATAGTGACAGAGACTGATTCATCTACAGTCCTGAATAACAACAATAAAAAATTGCTAACTCTTGCTAACACTTACATACTCATTGAACAAGATAGTTACTGCCTAGCCTCAGTTGTTCATAGGGAAATAAATTAAGTTTATGATGCGAATTATACAATCTTCAAGTCGAATCAACTCCAGGATGAAGGTATATTCAACTGACAATATCCAAGTAAAACGTAATCCTCTTTCTAAATGCCACCGGGTTTTACATATTAAAAATACGAAAACTAGATAGTATTGAACTTCATACATCACTGTTGTGAATCTTTTATTATGTTTAAGTACATTCAAATATTCATTCTCAGTATTAATTACTATAAGTATACCATATTGTATGATACTTTATACCATTATAAGGTTTTACATATTCGTGGAAACGTTTCATCATATACATATTTATGAATAATCAATCATGATTAAAAGAATTACTACCGTTTTCTGCAACGCTCGAACCAATAATATTGATGTCCCTGTTGAATAACCTAATATACTATCGTTTATTGGCCTACAAAAAAATCCATTACCCCAAATCCCAAGATAATAGCCAATTTGAAATGAATATATATATCTGACTTTAAAACCTACACAATTACATACATGAATTACAAGTCCTCAATTAGGGCATTTGAGGTAACCCTCACCTTGAATAATTGGTTAATAATTGATCTACAATAAGTGTATAGTAGAAAAAACATATAACAACACTCAAATGAAAGCTTACAATTAGAAGAATGTGAAAAATAATTCATAAACTATATAGTATCCACTTAGATATACATTAAAAATATGAGTATGGGGTTCTTGAAATTACTATGTCTTTGATTGAAATCATAAAACCGTTGATGTTAGACCACTACTGAAAACCTGGAAGCACTGGACGGCCTTTTCGTCGGTCGTTGGGCTATTAGCCCTCCCTCGTAAAATATAACCTCAACAGAAAAAAACTATTTTAACTCAGCGCTAAGATTTGAAGAACCTTGGTACAAAATATCCATGACACCTCATGGCAATATCTAAGATTCTTCGGATTCCATGATAGTGATACCCGCTCTGACGATCGAACCAACAGTCTACGAAGAGATATGGAATAGGATCGTGGATGCGCACTGCCGAAGAGTCCCATACTAGAACAAAATGGCCATTCAATGCTTCTAGGTTCTCAACAGTGTCCCAACATCAATCAGAAAGTATTCATAGTCTATTCTTTTCCTTTCACTATAAGAAGTGATTGAATTTAGTTCAAATAACGAACTTATCTTTGATTTCCTAGTTTTCCTTTTCTTCCTCAAATATTTCTGATATATCTATGAAATGTTGAATATCATTTTGTTAGAGGAAACATGATATTAACGTGACACATAACCTGTCTACCTATTCTATTTACTTCAAATCTTTTCTTTTTCTTTTCTTTTTTTCTCTTTCCTAATTTGAGAGAAAAAAAAGGGAAAAAAAATGGGTATGTATGGTGTTACATGGAAACTAGATACACAAACACACACACACACAAATAATAATCCATCTGTTTTACCTATATTCTACTTGTAAATTGATACGAACAACAACAACAACAAATGCTTGTTTTAATCCATTAAAACTAAAGTAATTATCTTTGTAATAATTCAGTTTCAATTTGTTTTAATTCATTAATAAAATGTTTTATTATGGTTACTAAATGTTTAAATTTATTATTATATAACTCATATTGTAGTGAATAAAAACACAGGTGAGGATTTAGCACAAAATTACATGAGCAAAGATGGATAGTATGTAGTAGTGGTATCCAGGACGCGCATCTAGTCCAATTCGGGACTCGTCAGCTGAACGTACCTACACTTCAGAGTTGATGTTCACTCCGGGACTCAAACACAGTATCGTTCACCATCGTTTATGACTTCAGGCCATATTGAGGCAGTTTGCACAAGATATACATATCCCAACAATAGATTGATCAATTGTAGTCACAAATAACAATGGAAGGATACAAGTAAACAACACCAAGTGAACAAAATTACAAAGTTACTTAGTAAAATAGAAAAACCATACTCTAATACTTCATTTGCCAAACGTTCATTAATTGTCTCAGGTTTCATTATTCTTACATTTTCATACCAACTGCTTTTTGTTTCTGTTCTTCCCTTCTCATTCTTCACAATCTTCTGCTACCAGATATTCTATTTCTGACTCACGATATATACTACTTATGTGTATATAAGAAGCCCACATTACAATTTTTTGATATAATATATTGTAAAGAGATACTTTTTTTTTTAATTTTTGAGTTTAATTCAAAAATGGAAAACTTTTAGTCTAATATCACACAAAGTATGTATTAGAAAGACCTTCGAATAGCTTACAACATACTGTATATTCAATCCTTGTCATATGGATTGTACATAAAACATAAATCAATCCTATTCGAAAATATTTACTCTAAAATCCTTAATTCAGTAGTACTTTATGAATAATCTGATCAGATTTAAGGACAGTGATTCATAGGTATCTACGGGGTATCCAATTATCCATTTAGTTACAAAGCATTATTTCATTATAGCTAACATCAATTCATAATGAGAACCCTGTTCCTAAATCTCAACTCCATTCAAGAACAATCTCATTCTTTGGAATATCATTTATATATGGGTTTTTTTGGTGGACATAGAAGACTGACATTCCATATCCAAATGTGTGAAATTTCACGAAGTTGTTTGTTCTTTTTACTGCCAAAGTAAACTGTAAAATGTGGAAATTGATTCATTATCCAAATTCTAAGTGAATTTTGTTAGATTAATGTTTCCTTTTCCATAAACTAATCATTTAAAGAAACTGTTGTCTAACTGATTAATAACTGGTCAAACCCAAGACCTTCGATCTCACACGCAAACATTTAACCTGTAGACCAATCAGCCGACATCAAACTGTGTTATCGTTTAACTTTAATCAAATTTTCAATAAATATGATCATACGTCAAACATAGTATAGAAGAAATGCAAAGAAATTTACTCAGCTAAATAAACACTGTTAATATATCTGCATTACATGTAAAAAAAACATTCTACAATATTGACAGTAACAAAAATAAGGATCATATAGTTAGATATATTACAGGTTTTAAGTAGCTGATAGCGATATTTAAAACGAACGAAAATGAATTCATTTTATTCTCATTACATTTTTGTTTATCCTTTCAACAAGACTATAATTTATAGACGATAAGAGGTTTTGCATTTCGACGCGAAATTCATTCATACATTTGTCTGATGTCAGTTCATGATGAAAACCACAACTCTAATCCCTATCTCTAATCATCAACTGTTAATCACAATCCTTGTCAATCGCACAGGTTTGAAACCAACATTTAGCCTTATTCAGTAGGTGGACATTCTCAAGGCTACTTTAGCGTCGCTCAAGAGTCGTCCATAAGTTAGAGTCTCATCATCTTGTCTTCATGATATGTTTTATTCATTGACTCTTTAAAAATTAATAAGTGTGACTTTATTGTTTTATCTGTTTTATTTAGTTCATGTTAACTGAAATTAAAACAATCATGCATTATTCAACTTGAAACTCAGTATACTTCGGTTATCAATACTGTTATAGCTCAAGTATTAAAACATTTTGTGACGTAAATATCTATAATATCAGCAGTTTTTATTATGAACTGATAATATCTTTTTAAATCACACACAATAGTTGTCACGATTTTAATTTATCACTTTTCTGTTGTGTACACTAATCGGTCTTGACTAGATATGGAAATGAAGACTTAGTGATTCATAGGTATTCTATCAACCATGAGAGGTCAATGTTCTGTAGTTATTTAGTATATAGATTCGATAATTTCGATAATTTGTATAAAGTCGGTTTTTTCCTAGACTATTTTTTTTAAAAAAAAATTTTATTTCGGTTTTTTTTGTCCGTTTTTTTCCGGTTTTCTTTTTTGGTAAAAACTTGTTGAAATAACTCGTGCTGAGAATTCTATATTGTACCAGATTATAATATTGAATAAAGCCATTAATAATAATAATAATAATAATAATAATAATAATAATAATAATAATAATAGAGTGAAGAATGCAGACAGCTGAGGATTTCCATAGAAGAATAAAATAACTTTTTAGTGTTCTCTAATGGTTTCTAATGGTTCATCAATTCATAAAGCTTCATGACGATAACCGTTTCCGTATGTATCAATAACTATATCTTACGTTTCAATATAATCACTAAATCAATTACGCAATTAATCCCTATACGTTTAGTTTCTTTTCACCTCACTGAAATTTTTTTGCTTTTCAGTGCCAATTTTTAATCATTGTCCAATTCAAGCTAAAGATTATTGTCAAAATGGTGGAGAATGCTTTTATTTATCCGGAGATCCAAGTGTATATATGTGCAGGTCAGTTTTAAAAAACTATCATGATTATATATATATATATATATATATATATATATATATATATATATGAAAATGGTTGTAATTCATTTTGTATAGATTGTTTAAATCTTTCCATTGATATTTTGAACTGAAATTTATCAGTCTCTTACTGTCATATCTGCATCCTGAGCAGAATGCTTAGGTTAGTGGCTATCTATACTCAGTAGCCAAGTGGATAACGTGATAAGTTTTGAAATGAACGGTACTGGGCTTGAGTACGGTAGTGAACATTCAGCTGATGAAACGCACATCCTGCAATCCACTGCTAGGAACAACCCATTTCTGTTTATACTACAAAAGATTACTTCTTAATTGTAAGTAATTTTCAGAGATCATTTCAAATATGATATAAATAATAAATAAAGCATAAATTTATGGATAATGATATACTGAATAGACGCTTATAGATGTATCGTTGACAGATTATGATTAACTATTGTACAAAAACAGATACTTTTCCTTATGTGAAATCTGATCAGAAAAATATATTTTTGGCAAATTTTTCTAAGACTGATGAATAATTAAACCTAGTGTCGAAACATTCAAAACATCAGTTTCCTTCTTTATTGGAATATCATACTTAAACTGTTATTTTCTTGATTCGTTTGAAACTTTTATTCATATAATGATGATACAATAATATAAAGGTCTAATATACTTTAATAAAAATGTCTATTGAATACATATTATGCAACAATTGAGTTGTAAACAGTTACCTGATGTTTAAACGATTGAATGAATTCAAATGTAAACAAAATCAAATAAAGATATTGATCGATATTGTTTAGATTCTCTCCAACAATATATTCAGAATCCAATTTATTTGTCACTAATGATAAATGAGTTTCTCGTACAATTAGACTAATCTTCTTCTTACATGTTTTTAGTTACTATTCATATGACAGAAGTTAGAAAATTTACCTAAAATGAAGTGAATTTCACCTTATTCATAGTTAAACTATTCAGAACAGAGAAAAACAAATTATCTACTTTGTAAGAAAAGATGAATTGTGACTAACAGTGGAATCCAGGACGCGCTTTTAGTTCGATTTGGGACTCGTCAGTTGGATGTACCTGAATCTCAAAGTTGATGTTCACTCTGAAAATCAAACCCAGTACCGTTCGCTTCAAACGTCATCACGTTATCCACTCGACCAATGAGTCCTCATAGTCACTTGATTGTGTAGTGGGGTGAAGTTTAAACGCATTTAATATTGTTTATCTACATTTATAATCCTCGTTAAACAACCGATATTTTTGAGTTGACCAAAATAATTTGTTTGCCTATAGAGTTCTCATAATCATTCTGCACAATAATTTCAACACTCATCTCATGCCGAAAACATCATTCTACTCATATATAAAGTGATAAATTTAATCATTCTGATAATCTTGTTTAATTGACTTACGATCATATGGTTGATTCATTTTTAATGTATAAATTAGATCTATGTTGATGTACTTACTGATTAGCGATTACTTTGAATTTCATGCTTCTAAGAATTCTCCAGCTTTCTTGGGATTCACTCTAATATAATATTTGAAAGTTTTATTAGTAGTAGTGATAGCAAATCAATGTTGTTATGATATAGCATAGGTTTGTGTACAAGTAAATAAATTATTTTCCACATTGTCCAATTTAGTTCTCATAACATATGGTATAACTTATTCTATAGGTCATGTTGTATTCGTTTTCCTTAGATATTGTATCTCCATTTTAGTGTAAATTTTGAATGAAGCTTTTCTAATGGTTTTTCGGAAACGTTAGTTTTAAACAATTTCTCTTAACTATGAATAAAAACAAATGATTCAAATTAATGCAATTATACTAAATAAGTGAACCAACACTACTAATATAATCTAACTTTTTGCCTTAATCCTACTCCGTTTTACCATTGAGTTAATAAATAGAAGACTTATTCAAATATTAAAGCATTTTGAATGATAATAATCTGATAATAATAATCATATGCTCACTAGTGACTGACTTCGAGAGGTAAATCCTGGCGTTCTATTAAGAAGCAGTGACCAGTGGAGTTCAAACCAGGTCTGTTGTGAGATAGAAACTCACTGAAGACAATTGGTGAACGGTTGCTCAACTTCGTGAATTGGTTGGAGTTAGACATAAACACCATCGGATGCCGGCTTAGTCGTCTATCGGTTAAGTGCTCTGGTGCGAGACTAGTAGATCCTGAGTTCTAATCTCGCGAGGCAAGATAGTGGATGCGTACAGCTGAGAAGTCCCACAATGAGATGAAACGGCCGTCGATTGCTTCCAGGTTTTCCATGTCAGTGGTCTAGCTTCAATTGACTCTCGCTTTCAACAATGAAAATCAGATATTGATAAGATCATCATTTGTAAATTCAATGTTAGAAGAATTTATACCAATCCCAGCTAAATAATGTATTGTTATGATTTATCATTAAAATGCAAACTTTAAAGCTTCTAACAACTTAGAGAAACAGTATTCATTTGAGAATCTTACTGATTATTTTAACAAAATATTGTTTATGTTACTTATATTAATAAGTAGCCTACATCTGCTTTTGAGAATGATCAGGAAGAATTAAAAATAAAAAAGAAAATTGCTTATGGGATAGGGAATTTTGTCGGTAAATGACATGATTTTCAGGGAATTAAAAAAAATTTAGCAGATAATTAATTACTGCCTGGTGACAAGAAAATCAATTGATTAATGTCATTGGAGAAGGAAGTTAGAAATCAACAAAGAATTATATAAAATGATCAAATTCTAATCAATTTATTTCGGTAAACGTACAAATATTATAAATTAAATAGATATAATTGAATCCAAATGTTTCCGTATAGTAAAATGAATAGTTTCCCGTTATATTATGATCATTTAAACAGCAATAGGCAAAGAATTATTCTAATCTGATGACCAAGTTTTATTTACATAGATTTTCAACAGACTTCTCCATTCTTTGAAGATTTTCATGAGAAATAAGATAATCAGAAGGTGTTTTGTGAAGATTTCAGTATTTTCATAGTTGGAATCATGAGTCAATTGAAGCTAAACCACCATGGAAAACCTGAAAGCGCTGGACGGCCGTTTCGTCCTATTATTGTACTCCTCAGCAGGATCTATCAATCTTGCGCCAAACCGCTTAACAACTAGACCAATGAGCCGGCATCCAACGGCTTTAATGTCTAACTTCAAACAATCCACGACATTGAGCAACATGGGTTAGAATCTCGAGAGGCGGGATCGTGGTAGAGCATTGCTGAGGAGTCCCACAATAGGACGAAACGGGCGTCCAGTGATTCCAGGTTTCCAATGGTGGTCTAGCTTCAATTGACTCACGCTTTCAACTATGAAACTATTTATTCTTTATGTCTATCATGTTGTAATGTATTAAAATTTATTTTCGAAATTGAGACGATCAATTCATCTACTCATATACTCAATATACTCACCTTCCTAGTAACAATCAGCACAGAGAGATTTAGATGATAATTAGTGGCACTAGACAGTTTTTTTTGTTCCGTGATCTCTTTTTTGACTGACTGAGAAAGAGTGTAGTCTAACCATGAGGCTGGTTATATTGGGGCACAACCAAGAAAATTTGTCCACTATTATAAGTTATTGTAATAACTTTACCTATCAAGAAATTTATCCTCCAGTGGTTAGTAATATGGTATGACTGATAAGAACTAAGCCTAACAGTCAAATCTTAATTCATTGGAGATTGACTGATCTACAGAACTGATTACCTCCTCATTTTTGTGTGATTACTTTGTACAAACAAATTCTTTTACTACATAAAACGTACAGGCTAATAACTTTATCTTTGATTTAAAATCATTTAAAAGCTTCCCTTAACAGTTTGGTTTCATAAACAACCAACACTCAGCCACATTTCTATCCAAGCGTATGTTATCGATGGTTCAATAAATTTGTTCTAAAGTTTGAATTAACGAAAGTTTGCTAATTAACTTAAAAAAATGCATGCTAACAACTTGACCCTTTAAGTATTCATTGATATAAATGTAATCAATACAAATAGGGTAAATTATCAATCCTCACGAAAGCCTCCAATCTAATTACTGACTTCATTCATTATTGCACAAATTCCAAATGATAAAATTGTTGTTAAGAGTATGCTTTTAATGAATCTACTTTATAGAAATTTATATTACTTGGTAGATCTCTTATGACTTCATTTAAACTATAAAGAAGTCTAAAGAGCTTCTGTCCATCATTTGAGTGAATATTTGATGAGACTATAATTCATGGACGACGTTCGAGCGACTCTAAAGTGACCATGAAAATGTTCAACTACTAATTAGGACTAAAGGCGGGCTATAAAATAGTGTGAGAAATTAGAATTACGTTTTACAGTTGATAGTCAAGTTTGAGAACTAGATTTAGGATTTTTCATCTGGAGCTAACATCAGCTATGATGCTAAAACGTAATTTTGCCAAATGTATGATGGATTTTGTGTCAAAATCCAAGACCTATTATCCTTAATCTGATTGGTTTGTCTATAAACTATAGTCTCCCTGAATACTTTGACGAAATCCATTAATTAAATTAATTCACTTGCTACTGCTTGGTTGAATCTTCCCATTGACGTTTAGGACTGCAACTGGTCAGTGTTTTATTGACCATATGTACATACTATAAGTATTGCCTCGATATAGCCTTAATTAACAAGCATTCCAAGCAAAGATGGATAGTGGCTAACAGTGGAATACAGGAACCGCGTTTCTTACTATTCGGGACTCGTGAATTGGATTTACGTGCATCTCAGATTTGATGGCCAATAAGAGACTAATCAATTGCAGTCCTAAACATCAATGGGAAGTTTAAACCAAACAATAGAAAGTAAATTTATTTTTATTTTATTGCACAAGCAAGTGGCTATTGGGACTCAGTAGCTGAGTGGATAACGTGATGGCGTTTGAAGCGAACGGTACTGGTTTGCAGTGCCACAG